GGGACTGTATTGTATGTCAAATAATTATATTGTGAAGAAGGGCATGTTTGTGCACCAAGTTCATCTTTACAAAAAACAGTAAGTTGCCTCCATCAACAGCAGGACAGCCTGAGCTTTTAACACGTGGCAGATCAAGGAGACACTGTAAGAGAATGCAAAGAGGAAGCTGCTAAAGTGACTGTTTGATCTGTGTCATGTTTTACATTATTGTGTATTTAGTTTAGAAAACTGTCGAAAGACTGCGTGAAGCTTGAATTGGAAGGAGAAAATGTTTTGGGATCTGATGTGATGTTCTCCTCGCTGCAGCGAAGAATACACCTTAGAGGTCATAGTGGATTTCTCAGGGAGTCAGTTCAGCTCTGAACACCAACCCAGCATCACGAGCATAAAGACCATCTCTATTCCCTCCTCCTGTGATCCGTGCCTGGCTCACATCACATCCGACCAGGAGGAAAACCCCCACACAGACGACCCTGTTCGCCCTCTCCTTCCTATCCTCGCACGTGCAGAAGCAGCCAAACGCACCTTGAGGTCGGTGGGAGCAGCTGCAGCTTGGAGGGAAGCTGGAAGAAGACTGACCTCTTTAACTTCTGCTGGACGAGGATAACGGCAGCAGGCGTCACTGAGGAATAACTGCACCCTTCTTCCACCCGTCCTTTATTCTGCTGCTGCAAACAGAGAGCTCACCTCCCTGTGAGCTCGTTAGGCTGAATCCTTCTGTGTTTGTTGTTATCTTAAACGCCCTCTTCATCTGCACACCCGTGGACATCAAACAGCCGAGGAGGAGTGAGCGGAGGAGGTCACAGCGGGCCTCGAACAGGCAGCATCATTGTAGCCCTTCCTTTTAGAATGTTTGATTTTTACTCATTTGGCTCGGTGGTGTTTAATCCTGGTCCTCGTCGGCCACTATCCTGCATGTTTTACGTTTCCCTGCTCTTCAGGGGGTCTTCAAGTTCTACAGAAGCCTGTTAATCACTCATTCATTCAGATTAGGTGTGTCGAAGCARGGAAAACGTGCAGGACAGTGGCCCTCGAGGACCAACATTATGTTTCACAGAAAAGAGCCATAAGAATTATCATGAGAAATGATTACAACCATCCATCAAATACGTTATTTTGCAAACTGAAAATTTTGAAATTCTATGATTTGGTTGACTATATTTTACTGTTGATGTACAAGGTTCACAAAAATGTATTAMCTTCCAACATACAGGTAAACTTTGTTAAGAGAGACAGTTGTTATTATCTGAAGGGGATGGAAATGTTTCTGAAGCCATATTTTCGTACTTGCTTGAGAGAAAGATGTACTTTAATCCAGGGTGTAGGATTATGGAATGGACTGGAGGATGATCTTAAAAATGCCAGATCTATTAGGTGTGCAACGAAACAGAAAATTTATGGTTCGGTTCGGTTCAATACTTTAGTCTTACGGTTCAACATTTTTTCAATACAAAAAAGAGAAATTTCCATGCCCCTTTTAACTTGTAATTTATTTAAATTAATTATAAACATTTGTTTAACCTCAGAAGTACAGTTTTTAAATTGAATGTTGCTGAAACAGCAAGTTTCTCAGTGGATCTGCACTCAAAAATACAGCCTAGGTGGAGTAGTCGAACACAGATCCACTAATCCTTCAACACAGAGCATCTTCAGAAGACAAGTTGATAAAATAAATTTTAAAAATCTGTATTGTTCAATACAAGTGTGTACTGAACCTAAAGTACTGTTTGATACGGTTCGGTATGGTTCGATATGGGTACATGTACTGTTGCACCYCTAAGATCTATATATATATATTTAAGAGAGAGATAAAAGCTAGTTTTCTGAAGGTATATGGAAAAGTAAAATGAGAAGCTTTATTAATTGTTGTCTGAGTTGATGTTTTTATTTTTATTTGTATTGTTTTGTAAATTATGTTTTCTTATATTCTGGGGATAAAAGGGGCAGACYTTATAAGATTTATTCTTCTTCTGCTACCTTTCATTTTATTTTGATTTTTTATTTGTGTATTTTCTTTGTTTTTTATTGTATATAGTTATTTTTAATGAAATGAATACATTTTTTGAATTGAATTGAAATTGAATAGAATGGGATATACTTTATTGTCCCTTGCAGGAAATTTGTCTTGAAAAAAGGTAAAAGTATAAGGTATTAGCTGCAAATGCAACCTGGTAAAGCACCAATGTGACACAGAAAGAGCACTGATGCTGGAGTTTAACAGTCTGATTGAAGCTGGAACAAAAGACAGTTTCAGCCTGTTGGTCTCACACCGTGGCCCCTCTGTCTCCTCCCTGATGGCAACAGTTCATATTCAGAGAACAGTGGAGGTTTATGGCCAGTGGATATGATTTTTGCTGCTCTTAATGCTGCTTGTTCATATATGGTCTGTATGGGTTCATTTTCTTTTAAGCCAGTTATTTTCATAGCTGATTTATGAATGTGGACAAGCTTGTTTCTGAGTTAAATTAGCAAACCAAGCTGTGATCCTGTCCCGTATAAAACTTTCCAGTGTGGCCCCACTGGTGTTAAACAGGAACCCAATGAGCCCATTTATCTGGTGAATGACCTGCACTTCTGCAGAACCAGTTTTCACTTTTATGCTCCACCTGTTTTTCATTTGTAATCAGTTTGTGTTAGTCATATTTGTCAGTTACAGCTGTACTGACCTGTTTTACAATTTCACTTGCCTGTATGCYGTCTTAATTTGAACAATCCATCGCTAATAACCGTAAAACAAATATTTCTATTGGAAAAGCAGTTTATAACGTAARAAAATCATTTTTCGTTTGGTTAATACCTTAAAGTTTTCATTTCGCTGTTTTAAAGCTTAGTTGCTTCGACAAGAGTCTGAGTGGGCATTTGGGCCATTGCAACTTCACTGTGCAAATCCATTTTCTGGGCAGTGTTATTTAAAATGCAGAAATGAGTTTTGTGGCACAATCAGACCTTTGTTCCAGCGAGGCGCTCCTCCACCCCACTCAGTAGCCTCAGCATGAACAACGCCTTGTTCACGAGCCTTAAAGCAAAATCCCCCAAATACAGTAAACAGGAATTTAGTTTCCAGTTTCCCTCTGGAGGAACCAGAAATCACAGCTTTAACTTGTTCTTCTCTCTGTAAACTTAGAGACCTGGACGGTGTCATCTCAATATAATCCAGACTTCTATTTTATCACTGTGTTCGCAGACAGAAACATGAACTGAACTCCTGGTGCTGCCGGAGGTGACAGAATGAGAGAGCAGCTGTCAGCACTTTGGAGACAAAAAACAGGTTTATGTGGCCCTGTTCCATGAATTTTTCTTTTTCTTTTTTAAAAACTCTGTCTTTTACAGCAGCAGTAGAGGTAGTTCTGCTCTCTCTGTGAGGAAAAAGTCTGATTCTATGGGCTCAGATTTTAGTCTAATCTAATTTGTACTTGTAAATCTCTAAGTTGATGTTTCCCCAGTGCTGTCTCTGTGATGCAGAACAAACAGCAAGCTTTGCTCCAAGAACTTTCCAGTCATTTTTAAACCATCACCTGATGTTTTAATGTTTTATAATTAATCCAGTGTGACCTTTCGCTGTCCCGTCACATTGTGCTGCAAAAAGCACGTGAATTCATTATCAGAGCACACAGGTCGCTCTCTGGCAAAACCTTCAGCTGGTTGAAAGAAACATGCAGCAGAGGCGGATCTAGGATTTTTAGTAAGGGGCCACAATATTCATAGAGGGGCCAAGTCTTTGTTCAGCATCCTTGCACACAAATCCCTGGTTTTGGTAAGGTGTATATATTTAACCAGTCCCACATTTAAACACTTGTAATTTTACAAAAGCTTGCACAGTAAAATTTCCTTGCCAATTTTACATGCATTTTTACTGTACATGTAAAATACTCTCAAACATGCAGCATGTGAGAGAATCCAGCCATCATTTGTGAGTTGAAAGACTTTTTCTGCAGGATTGTTCAAATTTTAAAAGCAGAAAAAAGAACTTCTGTTCTGCTTGATTCATGCTGGACTTTTCTATTTGGCTCATTTAACGCCTCTAGTGTTTGGACATGGAACTGCACCCAGCATCATCACTCTTGGGCAAACGACTGAGTGACAGGGCAGGGGCACTTCAGTGGGCCAATCAAATTTCAGCAGGGGCCAATGCCCCTGTGGCCCCACCCCTGAGTCCATACGATTTTCAATACGATACGAGTAGATATTGCTCAATGCCACTGACTCAACAAAACCAGCAACATATAACATTTTATTTCATATTTACAATTATAAAACCAAAATGTGTCCAAACGTCTGCTTATATAGACAACAGCATATCCAAAATACTGCTAGCCATTTGCAGTTTACTGATCTGAACAGGATTCACGTATTGTTACACCGCCCCCTAATGGCTGAGGGCATCAATGTTAAAATAAATAAAATCAATACGATAAAAAAAATTGGAGATTTTTATGCTCAGCCCTATTTGTTAACAGGACTTATTTACTACAGGCACTTTGTAGGCTGGAGGAATCAAACTAAAAGTGGGTTTGTTTAAAACTTTAAAACTGACTGTTCTATTAATGTTGAGTCAGCACAATTTTGTGCATCGTTTTCATGTTATTTTTCCACATTTAGCAAAAAACTCTACATTTCTTTTTTTATTTCACCAGATAATTGCTTCTTTTTAAATTTTTTATACTTATCAAAATATTTAACTTTATTCACATTTTCCTCATGAAAATACATTTTCATGTTTTATTTAAAATCATGTCTTATCTAGCATTTTTATTACTATTAGCTCGTGTTTCAGCTTCTGCCATCATTTAGAATTATACTTTTGAGCATTTTGACAGAAAACGTCATTTATGTATTTTAAAACTTTCCCCTTGAAATTACCACAAAAACAAATCAGACAACCGAGACATTTTGAACGTTTTGCTGAAATACATTCTTTAAAGGAATATATTTGTGACCCCCTTTGTAAAACAGACCCCAAAACTTGTCACAAAGATAAAAATGAAGGCTTAAAACGCAGCTCCATGTCACACATCTTTAATAGAATATCTTAACTAACTCTGTACAAATTGAAAAGAAATACTGCGCAAGTAACAAATTGTGAATAAGAACCAGTTAAGGCCATTGCTAGCACACGGTCCAATGTGGTCGATTAATGTCAACCGTGGCTTGCAGAGATCCGTCGAATGAAATGTACAATCATTTCTTATTAAAAAAAAGGGTGGGGGGTTGTGGATTTAATTCACTATGACTGAAGACTGTTCAGGCTAAAGTTTCCAAATGAACGGCCAGAAAACCATTAGCAGAATGGGAAATACATTGGCACCCTGTTCCATTTTAATTGTCCCCACAAACATTCCACTGAATTATTAGACAATAATAGATTTAAATATTAAACTGTAATTGTTCAGTTAGATTACACCGGTTAATAACAGTTGGCAAATGGTTTTATAAAAACAGGACGGTGTGTTTTTACATTTGGCTTCTTGGCAACAAAGCTTACATTTTTTCGAGCTTCCTGTCCACATCCCATCACAAACACAACAGTTGTTAAGAAACAGACACAAAACAAGAAATAATACAAAAAAATTGAGGGTTCACTACCATTTGCTTATGTCTGTCAACTTTGAAAGGGGAATTCAGCACAATCCAGACTAAATCAACAAAAAGAAATGTGTTAAACTTCTTCTGGTTAACACACAGGTAAAGACAATGAATATATTTAATGAATGCAATCTTTAGTGAAATACCTGCATGTTATAATCTTATAGGGCTTTTAATAAACCTGGCAAGAGGAATCTTTAAATGCTAAGAAAAACCATTAAAAAGCAACTTGGCAGTTTTATTATGTTGTTGATCTTAAAAGGATTTAAACCAGTGTGAACAAACCTATGAATCCCCTCAAACGTTAACATTTTATACAGCGTCAAGATACTAGAATAAATAGTTCAGTGACACAATGAACATTTAAAAAGTGAAGGAAATTCAAAGTAATACATTGTAAGTCTCAAAAATGACCATAAGAACAGAAAAACTAACCCAGTGACAGATAATCTAACTTGTTCAGCAGTTTTCTGGTAAACTCACTTTGCTTGTTTGCTATTAAAAAACCCTGAGTAACTGATTTATTTATGAACAATTGGGAACTCGTTTTCTATTTTCTCCATATTATTCCGAGTTTTTAAGTAGATACCGACCTTAAAGAAGACTGTCTATATGTGACACCTTTTGCAGTTTCATTAGTAGTCAAGTCAATTCTTGCTCAAGTTCGAAGGAAGCTGAATAAAACGGGTGAGATGGGCGCAAGACAGAAGAAAATAAAGTCATGCACAGTAAAAATGCAGGTTGGAGTTCCATAGCGTCCTATGAGAGTTTGTAAAAGGGCAGATCCTGTAAGAGTCAGAGGTCTTGTGGATTGGCTGAGAACAGAATTGATGAACAGCAGGTTCCCACCCCTGATCATCCAGATTACTGCTGCTTGCACTCGGCAGGCTGAGGCTGTTCTTTCTGCAGACAACATGGAGAAAAACACAAGTTTAAAAAATAGCAAGAGACGATGAAGGCTTTCAGTATCAACTAGCAGCCAGAAGAAAGCAAATGGAGAAAAATGAAAGCATCTGAGCTGGTAAAACAAAGAACAATGCTAGAAACTGGGGTGAGAATACAGAAGGGAAGGCTAAAAGATGGAGAGAAAACAGGACAGAGGCCTATTTTACCCAAGACATAAACCGAAGGTTGAAAACGCCTTGAACTACAAGAAGGGAATAATAAATGCAGTCAAAAGAAAGCAAGTTGTTTACACAACAGCCACCGTAGAAGAACATGATGCTCTTCCTCTCCCTTACCTAGAAATGCATGGATGAGAATGTTTGATTATGCCTGTAATGAAGGGGAAATCCAGGGGAAGGGAAAGACAACAGTGTGAAAAGGTTTAATTGTAACTTTTTAGAGATGAAAGTGAGCACACAGTGAAACATTGGCAAGGTTCATCAATGAGAACTCTGACTTCCTGGAGCAAAACTCAGTAACTTCTGGGTAAAAGTAGGAGACGGGGGGAAAACGCACTTCACCAAGAACAAATAAAACCGAGAAACAGAAAACAGCCTTGGTGACTATTGTTTACAGGGTGCAGAGACCTAAATAAAACATCATATATATATATATTAGGGCTGCACAATATATTTAACATTTATCGTCATTGCAATAATAGCCTGTTCAATATGCGTATCGCAACAACTGCATAAACTGCAATAAATGGCTGACTCAAAAATTTGCATTTATGCTTCTTGTCATTCAGTTGGAAGCTTGAAATATTTCACCAATCAAATAGAGTCTCATGTATTTGGTCAATTAAAAAAAAAAAAAATCAGGCTGAAATGGAAATGGTTATTTTTTTATGTTGTTTTTTTGGGTTTTGAACCCAGAGCAGAAAGATGAACACTACATACATACGTATTTTTTCATTTATCGCAAGTCATATCGTCATCACAATATTAAGCACTGTTATCGCACATCGCAGGTTTTCCTAATATCTTGCAGCCCAAATAAACAAATAAATAAATAAATACATATACATGTTTTTAGCTCAATTTTCAAAATAAATGTCTTTCAGGGTAAGAATTCGGCTGATGCTAAGGCCAAGGGACTAGTTGAATCCCTGGTATCAGCCTCACACACGCACCCCCCCCCCCAAATTAAAAAAAAAAACTAAATTATATAAACACAAAAGTACCAACATCAGTAAAATGTCTTTAAGAACAACAGATTAATTCTTAAAAGACCTAAACAAACAGAGAAGTTGACTCACAGACAATGTGAGCATCTGACTGAGCCTTTTTTCACTTTGATGTGATTTTTACTTATTTGATGTCTGAAATAAGAAAAGACTACAGAAAACTATTATTACTGTAGGTAAGGATAAGATTTAGTCCTGGTTTTATTCTTATATTTATTAGGGCTGTGTGTTGGCAAGAATTTGGCGATACGATACATATCATAACAGAGGGGTCACGATACGATATATCCTGATATATTACGATACTGTAAGCAAGGCAATATATTGCGATATATTGTGATTTTTTTTTTGTCCAAAAATTCTATTAAATAAAAACCTCTTACTGAAAAAAAAGCTAATGTTTACTTACAATAATAATGCTACCCTTACTCTCTGGCGCTCAAGAGGTAGAGGAGCCAAATGGCTGGCTCACTGCTGCCTGCTAGTGGTCATAGGCTGAACTAAAACAAAAATGAACAGTTGGCAAGAAGGTTGACATTTTAAACCTTAATTAAAAATCGATACAGGGCTTTAGAATATCGATACAGTATCGGGAAATGAAATATCGCAATATTTCAGTGTATCGATATTTTCTTACACCCCTAATATTTATATGTTTATTATATTGCTCTTTTAACAAATTTTAACTGTTTTTTTTTTTTTTGCTGTTTTTTTATATTATAACATCAAAGAAGTTGTGTTGTGTCGACATGTACAATAAAGCACAACACATTTTGGGGCACTCATCACATTTGAAAGCAAAWGTTTAGCCCTAAAACAAGTTCTGTCTTGACTGTCTAGTTTGGCCTGTTCAGTTGTGTGTAAAAAAAAGGCATTGTAGAAAAAAAAAAAAAAGCAAGATTTTTAAAATGTATGTATTGAAAACAAAAACACAAAAAACACGTGATGCCAACTGACCTTGGGGTCAAAGTCTCCCTCATCATCATCTTCATCACCATCCTCATCTTGTTCCTGAGACACAAAGGAAAACAACACAAAATGAGAAAAGCAGCCTGTGAGGACTGTGATAGTTCAAAGGTCAGGCTGGTGTGTGTGTGTGTGTTATTTCAGATCTAATACAGTATTAAAAAGGTGATTACTAACCTCTTCATCTCCTTCTTCCAGCTCCTCTTCTTCAAACTGCAAAAAAGCAAAACAATCAAGATTGAAAAGAACGAAGAAAAAAAGCACACTCAATGGTCAATATGAGCTCAGCTTCTCCCATATTATGAGTCAAAGTCTGGATCTTCTTTGTGTGTGTGTGTGTGTGTGTGTGTGTGTGTGTGTGTGTGTGTGTGTGAGAGAGAGAGACAGAGAGAGAGAAAGTGAAAAAGAGTACTTACACTCTCGTCATCTTCCATGGCTTCACCAGTGAAGTACAGGACTGCTCTGGGAACTATTCTTTCACGGAAGAAATGACCAATCTCAAAGTCTGTTGCTAGGGTGAACTCTGAGTCTTCGTCCTACAAAACAAGGTTTTATTCATAGCAACAAATCACACAACACAAACCTGAAGGTGTAACATTTATTTAAAAAAAGAAAACTTTTAAACATTTTACTCACCAATTCTCCATCTGGTGAAGCTGTAAGGTAAAAAAAACACAGCAACATTTTTTAAGTATCTGACATTAGATTTCTTGGGACAGCTTTCAGATTATTAAAAGGTTACAATCTGAAATGTATTTAAACATAGAAGTTAATGCTTGTTGCAATGACAACATTCACACGAGGTCTCAATGAACTTCAACATCAAATTTAGATTAAACAAGCTCCTCTAATGAAGTCTGCCCAGCTGATTGTACATCTCCTTTCGTGCTTTATTTTGAATTATTAGTGCCTTTAAGGGGTTTGCCTTTTTAAAACTATAAACAGATTTTTTTTAGAATCCCATTAAACATGTTCAGTTTCTACTATTCTCTATTTATGCCGAAGAAAAATATGTCTGAGGAAACATACAATAAAAGAAAAGTCAATTAACCATTATTTATCATGTGAGCAATGAATAATTCAATCATTTCTCAGATCTCGAGTCTGATCACCTAAATGAACCAGACACACACAGATGTTTATATTCAGTTACACACTGAAGCTACAGCTGGATTAGTCATTGCACAACCAATGCCTCCAAAAAACTCAGTACAAGTCCTGGCAAATGACAGAAAAAACAACTGACAATACAATTAGTGAAGCATCACGTATTCCTACAGATTTTTATAGAAGAATTATTCATTTGTGAAATGTTTTAATAAAATTATTGCTGGTTTTGTCCAATTCATTATTAAAAAAAAAATAATTCACTCATTTCATTTCTATGTGGGCCAATATGATTAAAACTTCTGAAGCACTGACAAGCTCATGTATAAATTTCTAAGATGACCTGAAATACAAAGTCCAGTTTAAGTGGGAAAATGATGGGTGGATTCTACAAAATGTAAAAGTCTAGTGCCACCTGCTGTAGAGTTTCGTTCAATTCAGGACCAACAAGATACACAATCAGGCTGCTTCACCACCCACATCTGAACACAGATCCAATATACTTGTGTAATAAACACAACATAGTGTTTTAATGCATCCTCACCTTTGATAGGGTTAAAGAAGTTGAAGAACGAGTCATTTGGGACCTGTTTTGTAACGGTGCGAACAGTGCCACGACCTTTATGCTTCTGCTTCTTCTTAATAGTTTTCACCGTCACATCCTTCCCTTTGTGCCAATCTATCTGACATCTAGAGAGACAAAGTGTAGAAAAGTGAGTAGCAGCAAAAACAAAGATGAGGCGAATATGAAACGATAAGAGAAAGATCAGTAAGGCTCTGGGATGCAAAGCCAGAAAGATTTAACAAAAATGTATTAGCAACCAGATAAAATATAGTTTTTATCTTAAACATCTAAAAAAATTAACTCTTCAAAAGCAGAGCAGCATGTTTTTACACTCACCCTTCACAGTTGATGATCTCTGGGCCCTCAAATGAGAAAGGCTCTGATGGATCCGGCTCTGATTTCATCTTGTAGACTTTTGTGAGGACTGCATTGTTGAAGTAGCCATTGGGCTCAAAGTGGAACTCTAAAGTGAAACTCTGAGAGAAAGATCAGTAAGACTCTGAATTTTAAATAGCTCACAGCATTGTTTTGATATAGATGAATGCTGATACTGACCATCGGCTGTCCTGGTTCAGAAAATTTGACTTGAATATCTTTCAGATGCTTTAGGATGGGCTCATCATGTTCCTATTAAAAACACGTCATGAGTCAGGCCAAAAAGACACGACACTATTCAGAAATGTGGCGAGACTTGTTGAGTAGGAGATGAATCGACGTAGTACCTGCAGCATGTCACTGAGCATGTCCACACTCTTGAAAATGGTGAGCCAGAACTCAGGGATGCCCTTCGGGTCTTCCTCTGGCTTGGCTTCCTCTTTCTTTGCATCCTCAATTGTAGCTTTTTCCTTTACTTCCTCCTAATGGCAGAGAAAATAAAATTCACTTCTTTATATACAAGGGTGGAAATTTCWACTCAGACAGACCAATTACAGAAAGTACAGACCAATTAAGCAACAAAGTAGTAGTTATTTCATAGTAGAAGTAGGTATTTTCTACACTTAAACATTAACCTTAACTGTAATTTCAAAATTTTGTTATATTTATAATAATATAAAGTTATGAAATTGTGTTATTTCCGTAACATGGTATTTCTAATACTTTGACAAACTCAATGTTGGCTTCATCCTCATCTCATTCTTGACAATCACTTGTAGTTTAAGAAAAAAAAAAGGCTTCCAGAGAAAACTTGACACATWAAACAAAACAAACAAAAAAAATACTTACAGCTAGTTCCTCCTCTTCATCTCTGTCACTGTGCCATTCACACTCCTCATCTGTGGGTTCCACCGCTCCTGTGACRATATCTCGTCTCTGTGACACAACATACAAACTTTATCAGAAATTTTGTGACTGTTTTAAATTTATTTATTTTAAATCATTCCTAAGCTTCCACAAGCAAGCTCAGCGCTCAGCAGTGCTGCGGGAGTTGGTGTGAAGAGCTCAGGTCTGGATCTGCTATTCTAGATGGCAGCAACCAAAATCAGAAACTGTTTTTTTTTTTTTACTATTTATACAACATTCACATCCTTAAATATCTGACATATTGTTCAAAGATTGTTTAAAAATGATACCCCTTAAAGATTCTGTTAGCATACTRGTTTTAAAAATGATGTGCTGCTGAAATCTTCATCAGTAAACGTCTAAACAAATTTACCTTTCATGGCAAATTTCTTACTTGGCTAGAAATCTGGGAGAGATACAAGACATGAGACCTGAATTTAGTGCGGTTTCATTTCTGCTTGAACCAGTACACTGGTCATTGAAGAGAGATTGACAGACACACATGACATGAACACAGTAGCGACAGGTGCAGCAGGACTACAGCTGTCACTCTCTCCCGAGTGTTTAAGAATGGCACGGCTCTTGTCACGGTCTCTGGAAATAGCTTTGACTGACAAAGACACAGCCGACTACTCGTTAGGACGGTTTTCTATTTAGCACTAAAGAAACACCCTCAAAGATCTCAGATTGGATCAGTAAGGAGAACCCAGTGCCCAAACAAAACTACTAAATCTTTTTTTTATTTAAACAGTTTAATGTTATAGTGTTAGGAAATAATATTAAAGAAATGTACCTTGTCAAACAGTGGATGATAAAGAGCTGCATACTTTCTCTCCAGCTCATGGACCTCTTCGTAGAATTTAGCTTCTATGTTAGCGCACTGCACCTGTAGCCTTTTCAGAGCGTGCACTCGCCTCTTCACTGCTTTGGGGAGCATGCTTTGTTAGAAGAAAAACAAACGGACATATGTGATTCACAATCTTCTAGAAAATTAAGATTGTTTGATCTTTAACATTTAAACTTTTAATATGCAAACTTTGCTTCATTGCATTTTAGGGTAGCTGTATAAATGAATGCCTGAAGTATTGAGTTTAAAAATTAAACGTTTTATTGCAGCAAAAGATGCAAACAGTTACAAAGTTTTTTCTTTTGCTCTACTAATTTGTCAGAAACAAAATATAAATAGCGCTCCATTGATATTGTAGCAAACTAGATGCATCCTAATCAAAACAGGAATAATTTTGCACCTCATTAGTGACAGGAAATAAAAAATTACTTTGAAACTATGTAGATCTAGTAAAAGATAAATGACTGATTATGTTCTGACCGCAGTGAAACAAAGTCCCAAACCCAAACATCTAGTAATGATCAAATAAAGTTAAATTACGTACTAAGGTTGGGCAATATTGGCAAAAATAAATATTCACAATTAATTGTGGCATTTAGTCAATAATGACAAATAGATGACAATTGTACTTGAATGTTTTTGACTCTGAATTAGTTACACTTTGTTGTAAAATTATACTTTCAAATCATCAGTCAAACTAACTTCTTCATTTAAGAGGTTAAAATAGTGAGCTGTGAATTGAAGTCCACCTTTTCAACAATATGGAGTAGCAGCATATTTAGTTAACAATAAGCCATGGGCTCACTCGATAGTGAGGGTGAGTCTCACACAGAAAATATGTCACTACGTGGTACTAATTACAAAGTGACAAATAATTATTATTGACAGTTTTTCTGACAAACTGCACATGACGCAATTTTGCCCAACTCTATTACATAGCGTATTAAATATGCTTCACTATGCCACTGGTTGAGGTTGAGTATGTACATTAGTGAAATACTCCGTATCAAGAAACCGACAGTCTGCAACTGAATTGTGAAGATAGCAAGGATGTAAATCTCTATCAAACGCACAAGAAACAACAAATCATCTGCACAAACCTTTCTGCAAAGTTGCCGCTGCCAGGTTTGTCTGTCTGTCCTCCTGGATTTGGCATCACAAGATCTCCTTTAACTGTCAACACAAGTCATTACCAAATAAACCTTGTAATATTAATGATCATTAGACTGACTAACTTGAAAACGCCTGTTAAATCTTAGCTTGTTTTTCACTAAACCTTAAAGTGAAAAACTGATCAATATTATTTAACTGATAACACCTTTGAGATTTTAGAAAATATTTCTGATTTTGTGCTAATCACAAGCAAACAAACTGAGTTTATATTATAAAATTATTTTCTTAAATATGTTTACAAGTAGACATTTTTCCACTTTATAAATGCTACTTGGCGTCTGCTTTTACCTTTACTGACATCCATGATGACCAAGTGTCTGTCCTTCCTCTGTTAAAAGCCAAACATTATTTTAGAACAGTCATTATGAAGAAAAAAAAAAGGCACAGTCATTATGAGCTACAACACTGACTCGGTAATAAGGAGGAGAATGAGTTAACATTAAAGTGATAATGAAAAACCAGCTGTTTCATCATCTGTGATCCTTAGCATAACCCGGCAGTCAGTGACACATTTTCATTTTTTAAAACTGATATTTGCAAAAACAGCACACTGATGAATCGTCAGAAACCAAAGAAAGCGTTAGACAGACACGCTAAGCTAACTTTGACAGATTATAATCAACCCTGGTGTTGCCTAAGCGCAGCCCTGTGACGTATGAACACGATAATGGCAGCTGCGGTTTGCTAAAGAAGAGTTAGCATATCCTTTTACGATATAAAACATGTCAGACGATACCAACAGACAAAGTGGACGTTTATTAGCACTTCACGCTTAACTTACCCGAAAGCACTTTGATACGTGGTTATGGGCGGTGACTGAAAGCTGACAGGCTAACCGGTGTTGTGCCTTAAAGCGCCCCTACTGTCAAAATCRGCCTGTTCACATGCTATGCACTAATGCACTGTAAGGCGGTTGTATACGATATAGATAAAGTGAAAAATGCCTTCAATTATTTATGTTTATCGGAATAAATTAAAAAAACACAACTTTCTACAATTCGATTATTTCAACATAAGGCGCCTTTTCAAGGCAGGCTACGCTGTCTTGACATTGAGCGGTCGGAAAAATCGGGACACATTTTTTAGCACTACTCCAAACCTGTTAGCTTGCTAGCCAGAAACTGAGGCAGCATGCTATGAACAATGCTTTCGCAACCAACAAGTGTGCGGTTTAGCACTTTTATCGTGCACATTGTAGACCAACGCGTAGTATCTTAACGCAGGACAGTGCGAAGTATATTACATTTTACATTATATGACTTGGGAAGACCATTATAAAATTGTAAATTACCGCTACCCGGCCGTTGGTTTGAGCTAATCGTCAGGCTACTGTTAGCTCGCGGATTAACAGAATCACCACGAAAACTACCAACAGTCAGTTTGATTAGGTTTACAGTCAGCGAATATTATACAGATGAAGCATAAAACAGTGGTATTAAAATATCTCGTTTTTTAAAAACAAGCGTACCTCTTGACGAGCGGAATTCTTGCTGGTTTTCTCACTCACGCGTCTTTGCTTCTGCTCCACGAGAGCGAAACACCCGCATCCCAGTATCCTGGATTCTGATTGGGCAGCTCTAACGAGGCATAGTGGTGCATTCAAGTGCCTAGTTAAAATGTGCACCTTTTAGGAGCACTCTTGAATGCCTGTTTGTATGGCTACTACAAGACTAATGGAAGCACGCACACGCACGCACGCGCGCGCGCGCGCACACACACACACAACGACAACAAAAAACAAACAAACAAACGTGTAAACAAATTAAAATATCTAAAATAAAACCAGTCAATAACTTTCCATGAATGTACCTGTGTATAAAATGCATGTAGCATTGTTTTTAGAATTTATTTTGTTTTTGACCCATTTCATGGCCTTTTATTTTATGTGAGATGTTCATAGCCTACTTCATGTTTGCATGTAAACAGGATTGCAAAAGAAACTGATGAAATTCATTGTGATTTGTCACACAGATGCATCGGATGTTGAAAGATTTGTAAGCAACTTGTCGGAGTTATTATCAATATTTTTTGCCRTAAACCTGGCCGTAAGGATTAATTCTCACAGCTAAACACAGAAACGGGAGCGTGGTAAAAACAAGCTGCATGAAAAAAAAAATGTTGGCGTTATATCACTTATATCTACACTTCAAGTGTCTATAGACAGGCTATAGAAAAATAGTGGCTGAGAAATGACTCATTTTAGCTTCTAGAGGATGATAACAAAATGATAAAAGTGGAAAAATTATGAAAAGGCCCAAACTGGAACATGACCTGAATCCAAAGAGGTTTGAAAAAGGATTGCTGTATCTCATACCAAAGTAGGTTTATAGCAGCTTGAAAATTAACGTGTGTGTGTGTGTGTGTGTGTGGGGGGGGGGGGGGTTCCAATGTGGAACATTTAGTCAGTGCAGTATTGTGGCATCATTGTGAAAAACAAAGGTGTCGGATTCTGCTCTTCATGACTAACCGTCACAATCATCCAGAAAATCCATACGATGCCAGAAAAAGAACAAAAACTGCAATTGATTTGGTAAAATAAAATAATAAAAATAACAAATGCAAAACCTTAATTTTTGAAGAACTTTGTCCCATCAATTTGTTCTTTTCTTCTTAAACACCAAACTGGTCACTGTTTTATTATTTTATTCTTAATATCTTATCAGTTTCTCATTGTCACTTTTTAAAATCTTCCTTTCTTTTTTTATTCACCCCCTTAATTGCTTGAATTCAGAAGTTAAGTAAAATCTTGTTATCTATCTATCTCATATAATGTACATTTCAATCTATGCAAAATGAATAAATAAATTAAATATCTCAATGTTAATAATAATATTCATGCATTGTCTTCACTCTATTTGTAGACCACAAGAGGGCTTCATCCACCCATGCATGCATGCTTTGTATGAGACACTGACTGTATTAGTGTTAAAAACAAACAAACAAACAAACAAACAAACAAACAAACAAACAAACAAACAAATAAATAAATAAATAAAATTCAATGTGCACTGTAAAAAATGAAATGTTGGATTTACTTAACCATGTTATGTTACCTGGTTCCACTTAACTGAGTTGAGTAAATTCAAAGAAATATACCAGTTTTTTAGCCAAAGAACATGAGTATGTTGCTTTGAATTTACTCAACTCAGTTAAGTGGAACCAGGTAACATAACATGGTTAAGTAAATCCAACATTTCATTTTTAGAGTGTGGCTATCATGTATTCAGACATTAAATAACTTGTGTTTATCTTTTTGGGCTTTGTATTGGAAGCACACACACACACACACACACACACACACACACACACACACACACACACACTAAGCATTTATAATGCACATTTGAATAATTTTATTTATTGCCGTAATATTTGCCAAACATGTTATTAAGTATTTAAAATCCCAAATAAAATAAAATAAAACATATTCTGAAACAGAAAAAAGAATACTTTAAAATGTTTACAATCAAAATGAAGTAAAAAAATTCTGTTTGAGACGGACAAACATGGGCTGAATTTTTAATACAAATAAAATGTGTAAAAGTCAAACTGACATGGTTGTGAGTCTACTCTGAGTGGGAACATCTTATAGATTCTGCAAAAAAATACATATTTGAGTAATTAAACATTTATTTTTACAAACCAGTGTTTCAGAAAGTGTATTTGCTGCATTTTGAATGAAGACGATAGAAGTGCTAAAGTTATTAACTGACCTGTTTTGTCAAAATATTGAGGTTCTTTTGTCAGATTCAATAATTATTTGAAGGAAGCGTTTCATTACCTGCTGTGACAAAAAATACTTTAAAGTGGAAATGAGAAAGCTTCTTGCAAATTAACATCTGCTTTTCTCACTTATCATCGGAAACTGTCTGAAATTAGAAAATTCACTGGCTTTTAAAATCATAATTGGTCAGAAAAATGGTTTTTGTCATCAAAATGTTCAGCCGCAACCTAAAACATAAGACGTCCATAATACGGAACATCTTGTTGACTTTCTCTCTGTTCAAGTGTTCCAGCATAATATGGTGCACATTAAATGTATTTTTTTGTGGAAGTGGCCTGGTGTGGGAACAGACATAAAGTCTAAAATCCGGTCTACTCTCTGTTTGCTATCAACCACTGCAAAGCCTGCACACTTGAGAGGAAGTGACAGCGCTGAGGGCCCTCAGGGTAGGATTGTTGTGACCAGGCTCTGTGCTTGTCACACTGTGACATTTACCAGAAGAGTCTGTACCCACAGAAGAAATCAGATGTGATTGTGTAGCATTTAGGAAGGAACAGGATTTTACAAATCACTGTAAAACAGTTGTTCATTTAGATTTTATTATTTTATAGACAAATAATACAGGACACAAAACAGAAAGATTGTTTTGGTGACCTGCTCTTTCTTGAGATAATGGTTTTTTATATTAAACTTGCAGTTTTTGCACAAAGTTGTACGTAGCTGCAGATCACCCACCTCATATGTTTAGGTCCTGTCCTTTTAATATGGTAAAGAACACACGGCTCTACAAATGGGCTATAGCTTATTTGTTTTTGTTTTTTCTGATTKTGCACATGTTTTCCATGCAGAAGATGTGGATGGAAACACAAATAAATACTCAAATAACAAAAAAATAAAAATGGCAGAAAAGATAAAATAAACTGACTGATCAATGTTTTCATGCATTTCTGAGTGAACCAATTGAAGTCTATAGAAAAAACATCATCACAGCTTTCTAATTTATTGTTTTTTTGAGTTTTATACAAATCATCTGCCTATTGACCCTCTGCCTGCATTGATTTCCTGGTTTTTCTTTATATCTCAGAAACAAACAAGAAATCAATAAGCTTTCTCTTCCAAACGCATGAAGGTTTTTATTTTTATATTTATTCTGTTGATAACTCTGTAAGTGTTAGCCACATAAAGGTAAATGCATCTTATGAAACTGTAATTCTAACTTTTAATTTGTGCAGCAAAAACACTGACAAAGTGTTCATGAGCAAAACRTTGAACAACACAATACTTCACAAGTACAGTATACACTGTGGTACAGGAAGAAAAAAAGTACTTAATCTTTAACAGAAGATTCTCTGATCAGATCTACCCTCTCTTTTACAAAATTAAGTTATTCTAAAGCGGTTTCTCAACTCAGGGGCTGTGGTCTACCTAGACTGTGGCCCACCGAGGTCATGCACCGAAAAAAAAAAAAACTTTTGGGTGTAGTAACTTTATTTAATTATTCTTTTAAATTTTACAAAAAAAAATCATCTTAATCTTTAACAGAAGATTCTCTGATCAGATCTACCCTCTCTTTTACAAAATTAAGTTATTCTA